TCCACGCTACTGCGCGACATGCTGCTGCTTTAGGACGCGCTCGCATGGTCGCGCCTCTATCGGCGCCGAGGTCAAAAGCTCTGTGTGCCAAAGTAATCTTCATAGTGTGGTTTGCCAGCTTGCGTGCAATATATGTAGCCAGACTCTTGCCCCCCACGATGATCGCATTTTTGCCGGCAATGCTCAAGTGCGCTTGCCCCGCATCTTGGCCAAGAGAGCCCCAGCTTCGGCGAGGGCCTGCGGGAGGAACCCGACGGAGCCAAATGCATACTGCGTGGTATCATAAACCCAGGAAGTGGTGCACACCGTCGGGTAAAGTCTGTTGTGAACAGCCTCCAAAATCTAAAACATATAGAATCTTCCAAAATCAACTCCTCGGCGTGCACTGGCAACGATGCTCATGTGCGCCTGGGCAGGGGGGGTAGCATCTCTCTGCCCTGATACTCCGAACAACGATGTGCGAAAGGCCATCCATAAGCAAAGCAAGCGGCGGCAAACTCAAAGCCAGGCCCTGCTCGAAGAGCCGCTCGCACACAGGCGAGTCGTAGAAACTGTCGATGCTCCAGAGCAAGCTGGCAGACGCAGTATGTTTGGGCCCCATGCGCACACCTTCGCCCGCGAAGGTTCTGAGAAAACCCACGCGAAGACCAGGGGAACCATGGGCGGCATGGTCCCATGTTCCTGCCATGCGGTCAACCCACTCAGAAGGATAGATCTGCCTGGCCGAACTCCACAAGCGAACCAAATCTGGCAACAATACATGCTGAATGTGCCATAGCCGTTCCCCATCGACGTTCGCAGTCGTTGAGAGGCAGCGAGATGCGCGACGTCCGAGGGGGGGGGAGTATTTGAGCGATCCACTGAGCTGCTCGATGCCCGCCGACCTTTTGGAGTTGATCTGCGTGACTGCGATGGCAATTTGTTCGGGTCGGAGCTCCGGCCGCGGCTGATCCACCCATTCTTGATGGGCGTGCCGCGATAGATGAGAACACGGCGTGCCGAGATTATTTTTGAAGCCAATTTCTGTTGCCACCGAGAGCTCTGCTGAATGCGAGCGCCCTTCAGGTTTGCATACCTCCCAACACTGTCGCGGTGCTCCGTCTCGACTCGGGCCTCGGGCATGAAGAAGCTATGAATTTGGCCTCATCCGTGCTCAACCAAAACCACGTGCCTAATTTTATGTTGTTGCGTGGCTTTCCTTGGCGGATTTCCTGTCGAGCGTCAGAGCAATTTCGGTTGCTGACCTTTCCATCGCGCAGAGAGCGCCGCGCGAGAGGCCATGTGCACCCGGAAGGGTACTGACCCAATCATGCCCGTCTCCGCCCGCGACTGCCGTGCCCAGGTAGAGGCGTGTCTGCTGGGGCCCGCGCCGATCCGCGCACCGAGAAGTCTCTTCTCGCCGCGATCTGGGCCATCTGTTTTTCCTATTATTCCTTTGCGCGACAACTAAGGGGGGGAAGGGAGCTCGCCGTCTCCCGTAGAAGCGGCAAGCGCACGCGGAGCGATACGCCCATACCATCAGTGACATTGATGAGCTCGTTGATCCATTCTGAAAACTGCAGCCGCCATTTGATTGAAGTATCCGAATGCGAGCGCATTGGTGCGGTCTGCTACATAGGCACCAGCTTCAACGCAGGGGGGCCTCTCCTCGGCCGCAGTGCTACCGCGATCGCTCTGGTGGTGCGTCCAGGACACAGCATAGAAACCTTTCAAGGCAACTGGCGAACAAATCCATATTCTTTACCCAGAGACAGAGCGGCGCCAGGATCATACCGGCACGAAGGACTGCTTTGGATTAAACCTGGCGGTTTTGCCGAGGCAGAACGCGGCAACGTGCGACTCTCGATGCCATTCCACAGCTCGTCCAGATCATGAGTAGACCGTTGGTGATACTTGGCAGGGTCGCAGGTATCGTCGGCCTTTCTGGTCTTGCCGTTGTTGGTCCCGCTGGCATGCGTCTACCACATGCGCCTGGGAGCCTCCGAATCAAAATCGCCAAATTCTCGGCGCAGGAACTTGCGAGCATCCTCCGGAGATTTAGCGACAGAATGTGCGACCTGAGGTTGGGCCAACAGATCCTCGTCATCGGTGTCGGTGTTCCCCTTCATCGTGTCGTGCCGCTGCTCCTGCTGTTCATGATGCGCGTGGCTCTGCTGGCGCCTGAGGATCGAGCTCGAGCTTCTTCCGTGGGCACTTGCTGTCAGGGTCTGCCTGGATCTTGCTTGGTAGCGGCGGTCAAGGGTTTGGGCATATGAAGGATACGGCGGACGGCGCACTGTGAATCAATATTCATTTTCAAAACCGTGCCACGATTATCGCCTCCCTCCGCATCAGTCTGAATCGAATCGCGGCAAATGGAACACACATCAACGTATCCAATGGCGTAGTCGATGATGCGCGAGGGCTTGCCTCTGGCGAAGGTGTCCTGATGCCTGTCGGGAAATAAACATGTCCGTTCCACCTGCGCATCCAGATATCATCCAGTTAGCAAACTCCACAGGCGTGGAATTCAAATCGGCCAAGCTGACCCAAGGACCAGGGTGGTTCGAAATCAAGCCAGATATCGTGAGCAGCTTGCTCACGTTGCATGGGCTCTTAGGTCCGACTGACGCAGTAAGGTAAGCACCAATCACCAGACATGATACTCGAGGCATCTCCCACTCCGAGGTAAAAGCATATCTGAAATGCAATGAACCATTGGCATCACCACTGTCACCAACGTTCACAAGACCAATCACCTTATTTGGGGGGGGACGAAATGGAGTCCGTGAATGATGCTGCCGAATGCCGAGAACAATACCACCTGCTTTACGCGACTTGGCCGTAGGGCATGTTGGCGATACAATCCCATGCCACTTGTGCTGCTTGAGTGTACTCACAATAGTCTGAGCGTCACTGGCCACGACGTGGGTCTCTGGAGCGATGGCAATGTCAACGCCGCCCTCGGCAAAAACTGGGGCTCTCCTGTGCCCGCACCGAGAGATTGCGAAGTAAAATGCGGCGAACGCCTGGACGTACATCGGGTTGCTCATATCTGGGTCTGGGATAGATCCGCATCGTGTTGCCCTCGAGTTTCCTGTGAACTTGAGGCAGCCTTGCTCTCATATGATTCAGCTTTGGGCTGAACTCCAGATCGAGCCGTCTCCGGGAGTTTCTGGACCTACCTTGGCGAGGCTTTGGGGGGAAGTGGAGGGGGGGGTTGGCTGGGGCTTCCGCAGGCTGCGGCGCCGCAGGCGGTGCAGATGCGACAGCCGCGGGAACTGGCTCCTCGGCAGTTCCTCCATAATTTGGCTCAGGTTCAGCATCGTGCGCTTCACCATCTGCGGCTGCCTCCCCTTGACCTCCGAGTCGGCGACGTTTGGTCGCCATGCGAGCCTTGGAATCGTTGAACTTCTTCTTGCGAGCGCCCAGCTGTGCAGCAGCTGGACCGACTGCCTGACTGATGAGTTACTTGGTCTCTTTCGCCAGGGTGTTCTTGTGGTTCTGCCATGCATTGATATCCTCGGGGGACAGGTCGAGTTCGGAAAAGTCGAACGCGTCGCCGTCATCCCATTCGAACATCTTGTCGAGGTCGCTGTCCTCCACCAGGAAGGCCGACAGGTTTAATTTTGACTTGCGGTCGTTGGAGTTCTCGTCGTGCTGCTGCTGCTACTGTTGCTTGAGACGTTCGAGGTCACTCTCCGGCTGGTGTTCATGAGCAAGACATACATCGGCTGCATCCTGCGCTGCAGTCTGGACAGTCTTGCGTGCTCGTGCGTACCACTGGAGACAATCTTGCTCATGAGCGAGGGCCTTCTCGAGAGCCTCGTCTGCCTTGCGTGCTGCCGCTGCCAACCTTTGTGCTGCACGCTCGCGCTCGAGGTTGGGGTTCGTGGCTGGCTGCTGTGGCTGCGCGGGGCGAGCTGTTTGCTTGATGGCCTTGAGCTGAGAGCTGGCTTGAGGTACGCGTTGAAAAAGCGCCTTTGCAAGCTGGTCCGTGGCGGGTGCGAAAAAGGGTGCGTGGAGCCGTTTGCGAGGATGTATGTGCCGCCGCCTGGAGACCATTGGCCAGGGGGTGGCTGGCGGAACGGGCTGACCTGCTTGCTGGGCGCGGCGGCATTGCCCAACGCGGGAGGCCCGTAGCTCCATGCACCTGCGTCTCGCTGTGGGGGATGGCCGCCGATGGGACGCAAGACACCACTGCACTGCCAGCATTGAGTATGCTTCTTCCAGTTTCACTTGTAATGGCAGCCGTCATAAGGACAAGACACATAGCCTTGCGCACCAGCATACTGAGCCTTCCATGTCCCTATGACTGCAGGGCCTGGCTGCCCTGGCCGTGAATGAAGGATGGATGCTGCGCCGCCTGGGCAGGCTCGAAGCTCTGAAATGGTGGGATATAGCCGCGGACTAGCGGTATCCACGTGTTCCCTTGCGGAACAACATCTTGAGCCAGATGGTTTGAGCCAAAATGGCTACGACGGAGGAGGAGGCGGCGGCGGAGGAGGAGGAGGAGAAGGAGGAGGAGGAAAAGGAGGAGGAGGAGGAGGAGGAGGAGGAGCGAGAGAGGAGAGGAGGGCCGAGCAGGGTGGACGAAAGTTGAATATTATGGCAGTGTTCCTCCATGGGCGCCGGCAGGAAAAGGAATTGACGGACGAGTCGGAGGAGGAACAAACATGAGAAGGAGGAGGAGGAAAGCCTCAAAAGGTGGAGGAGGGAACGGGAGGAGGAGGAGGAGGAGGAGGAGGAGGAGGAGGAGGACGAGGAGAAGGAGAACGAGGACGTCATGAGGAGGAGGAGGAGGAGGAGGAGGAGGTGCAGGAGGAGGAGGAAAAATAGGAAGAGGAGGGGAGGATCAGGAAGTGGAGAAGGAGGAGGGTGGCACCGATAAGCAGAAGGGCGGAGGAGGACGAAGAGGAGGAGGAGGAGGAGGAGGAGGAGAGGAAGGAGGAGGAATGAGGCGGAGGAGGGATGGAGGGAGGGGGGAAGAGGTGGTGCCTATCCGTGGACGCCCTGGCAAGGAGAGCGGCTGCGCATGCCACAGCCCGGCGCCTTGCCTCGCAACGACGGGCTGCCGTGTGAGCTTGCTGGGCTTCTTCGGAGTGCTCTGCGGCTCGGCCTCGCCCGCCACTGCGTCTTGCGGCCCGTGAGGGCATCCAGGGCCCCCCCCCCACTCATCCATCCTCCCTCGCTTGGTTGACGGGGCCAATGAGCTCGGCGAAGGAGCTCAATATACACGGTCGGGAACTGTGGCTGAGCGTGTCGCCCCGGCGGCCCACGCCACGGTTCCGTGGGGCGGGAGGTTCGGATAAGTTCGGGACGTTGATGCTTTAGGGCCCGGGAAGTGGATTACCGTATCGTATCGCGCCGAAGCGTGGTGAACCAGAACCTTCGGAGCGACGCGCTAACAAAGTCCCCGACCGTAGAAGGTTCATAGTCTCACAGGTTGGGCCAATTGGGCGCTTGTACACCGAGCTCTCTGGCAGACCGAACGAGCCCATCCCAGTCCTCCCCCCCGTTCCTCCGCGAGAACGCCCAGTGTGAGAAACATTGCACAGGCAGGGTCCCACGGGATAGGGACCGCCTTGTCCAGGCTCAGTTAGCGTGGTGCCCGATCCGTGGCGCCCCTCCGCCCCCCGAGGCGCTTGCGGGGAGAACCTATCGAGCCTCGGTCGATCGAGGCTCGGTCGATCGAGCCTCGATCGACCGAAGCCTCCCAGCCGTGCCCCATTCCTCTCCCCCCGCCCCGCCCCGTGCACAGGGGGGGGTCCGACGAGCAGGGTTCGGTGCTGCGGAGCCCGTGCCCGTCGGGGGGGGGGCGTCTGCCCTCGTAATGCGCGAGCGGGTCCCCGAAGCGGTCCGTCGCCGAAAAAGGTGTCGCCTGGCGGGGGGGAGGGCGGGAGGGGGCTTGGGCGGGATCCAGGAGCAAGGCAAGAGGAGGAGGGAGGGTGGGAGTGGGGCAAAGGAGGAGCAGGAGGAGGTGGAGGAGGAGGAGGAGGAAGAGGAGGAGGAGGGGGAGAAGGAGGAGGAGGAGGAGGAGGACCATTGTTTCCCCAAGAACCATCAACGATGTTGGAATGAGCCTCTCTCCAAGCTCCGTCTTCATAACCCCTACAGAGAACTTCTTACTTCGAAGACAACTGTTTGAAGACCCTGAAGCATGGCAAATCATTGTTCTCGGGATTCCAACGCCACGGATCAACCTGAATGTTGCATTTTGACAATCCTGAATCGTGCCAAAACGCCAATCTTGGAACTTCAACACAGCGAATCAACATGACTGTTGCACCCGCGTTACACAGTTTCTGGCACGGTGGTAATGGAAACCCGTGAACTATTGCAAAGTTTGTGTGCGAATATGCGCGGCGCCAAGGCAAGAGCCACGGTTTGAAAAGGTACCGCCCTCAATCCGTGAAGCTCTTGCAAAGTTTGTGCACGAATGTGCGCGGCGCCAAGGCGAGAGCCACAGTTTGAACAGGAACCGCCCTCAATCTATGAAGCCCTTGCGCATGTTTGAAACGAATGTGCGCCGTGCTGAAGCGAGAGCCATATTTTGAAGATTGCCCGCGCTCAATCCGCGAAACAAAGGTGCGCCGCGCTAAGACGAGAGCCACATGTTGAAACCACCCGCCCGCATCGGCGAAATTCTGGCACATGTTTAGAACGAATGTGCGCCGCGCCAATGCGAGAGCCACACTTTGAAAACCACCCGCCATCAATATGTAATGCTGATGTCAAGAGTAAGTTTCAGAGTCATGAATGGTGAGGAAGTCTCAGGCCAAACGCCCAGCCCGCAATAAAAATGGGCGTCGGGGTGCGACAGGGAGATATTAAGTATAAGGGAGAGGATTGGAGGATGAGGAGGAGGAGGATGAGGAGAAGCAGGAGGAGAAGGACAGGCGGCCGCGTCACACGATTCTTCGGCCGAGAGAGAGAGAGATAGAGACAGAGAGAGAGAGGCAAAGAGAGAGACAGAGAGAGAGAGAGGAGGAGGAGGAGGAGGAGGAGGAGGAGGACGAGGAGGAGGAGGAGGAAGAGGAGGAGGAGGAGGAGGAGGAAGAGGAGGAGGAGGAGGAGCAGGACGAGGAGGAGTGTGGGGGGAGGGAGGATCGAATTGACACGGCAGAAGGAAGCGTCTTGCCCCACAGCGGCATCTGGGCCCCCTTTGGGGGCGCGGGGGGAGGCAGTAGGGAGGAGAGAGGACGTTAGGAGGAGGTGGAGGTGGTGATGGAGGAGGAAGGGGAGGAGGGGAGGAGGAGGGAGGGAGGATGCTGATGAGGAGGACAGAGGAGGTTGGAGGAGGAGGAGGAGGAGGAGGAGGAGGGAGGGAGGCAGGAAGGATGTTGGTGAGGGGTGTGGAGGGGAGGTAGTAACCAACAAGTGCATAAACGCAAACTTTCCGCGCTGACTTCTTGGAACGGCGCGGGAGCCCCCTGACGGCGCATCGGGCGCCGCCTCTTGCGCGCTCCACGTGCCAGGGAGGGAGGTCCAGCGGTGATCCAAGAAATCAGGGCGGGCCTCCGAACGTTTCCCATACAATGCTTGCACTTCAGGGTTCCTTTGTGGGAGCGGGTGTCGGTTTGGCCGGCTCGTTGCCGCCGTCGCCGCTCGTCGCTGCCGTCCGTCGCCGCTGTTTCTGGGCCGGGGTGTCGGTCGCCGCTTTTGTTGCCGCCGTCGCCGCCCGTCGCCGCCGTTCGTCGCCTTTGCTTCTGGGCCTGGGTGTCGGTCGCCGCGTTTGTTGCCGCTGTCGCCGCCCGTCCGTCGCCGCTGCTTCTAGGCCTCGGTGTCGGTCGCCGCGTTTGTTGCCGCCGTCGCCGCCCGTCGCCGCCGATGCCTTGCACGCTTCCCCGTTGCATTTTATTTGGTTGCCACACATTTCCCGACATAGATTGTACCACATGTGCTGTGCATCACACATTGCACCACGTAGGTTTCAAAAGCAATCCACCACGTTGATTTCACTCCATGGATCGCGCCACACAAATATATACATATATATATATATATATATACATTTATATCTATAGTATGTTCTACACGTGCCCCCTTTTCGCGTATTGCAATTTATGTGATGTTGTCCCCATCGCCCATCCGAAACATGAACTCATACCATCCCACGCAGGCCAGCATCGCCCCCCCTCATCCTCTGCTGGAGGAGCTATGCGCGCACACTCTCGTGTGTCAAACACCATCAGATACCAAGAACGATTTGCAAAAGACGGTGAATTGCACACGCGCGCGTGATCGCGCGCGCATGCCGAAACCCTTCAAGAACCTTAGGTTTTGTAAGGATTATAAAATCGAGTGTCCCGCTCGTCGCAAGAATGTTCAAAAATAGCTTGCGTTCGCGCTCTTGCGAATTCTTCCGACAGCCATCGGTTTTACAGCATCGCCATAAGATGCTACCAAACGGGCCTCTCGCGCGCGCATGTCGGAATCACAAGAACGCCCTTGCGCGCGTGATGTCGCAAGAACTCTATGCGCAAGATGGGACACAGTGCGCACGCGCGCGTTGTCGCGCGCGCATGCCGAAATCATTCCAAAACCAGGTGAGACGCAAGGGTTTCAAATTCGAGTGTTCCGAACACATCGAAAGCATATGGATTTGCAACATCAGTTATGAATTTATATGTGTATATATAACAAAAAACCTGCGCTCGCGGTCTTCCGATTTTGTGAGAATACCATATGTTTCTCAGAATGTTCATTCATTTCTGCCCAGCGAGCCTCTCGAGCCTCATGTCGAGATCCAGCGAATGTCCTTGCGCGCGTGCTGGGGGGCACGATCGGAGTCAAATGGTACCATGCGGGCCACTCGCGCGCCGGCCGCGCGCGCATGGCGAACTTCTGCCAAACCGTCATCACCCACGAGAGGACGCCATCATCGTCGTCGGCGTGATCGCCGTCATCGTCGTCGGCGTGACCAGCATGGGCGCCGTCACTGGCCGCGCCCTGTTTCGTCGTCAGATTCGCCCCCAGTTTCGCCACTATCTTCATCGCGTTGACCGTTGTCGAAGTCGCCATGCTACCGCGCCCGCCCAAGTCAACGACTCGTAATGAAGTGCCCGCTGGGAAGTGCCCAACGGTCAGCGCCACCGCGGCCGCGCCGGTCGCTGCAACATAGATGGCCGCTGTGCGCGCGAGCATGCGCGCTAGCGCGGCCGCGGCGATGCGCCAGCCAGCGCCGAACAGGCATCGCAGTCAGTAGGGTGGGATGATTGCGCGGGCAGTAGACTTGACAATTTCAAGTTCGGCAGGGGAAATGATTTGCGCATTTGTTGACTTAGAAAACCCTTTCAGAAACAAAAAACGGGGCGAAGTGCACGCGCGCGCGTCGTTGCGCGCGCATGCCGGAATCCTTCCCAATTCATGGCTTCACAAGGATTTTCGAATCGGCCGTCTCCACAACATATAGTAACACGTTGTTTTGCAACACCAGTTTTGAAGCAGGTTTGCGCGCTTCTGCGAGAACATCGCATCGTTTCTCAACGTTGTCATTACATTCGACCAAATCGGCCTCTTGCGCCGCATGACGAAATCAGTCGAACGGCCTTGCGCGCGTCCTGCGGGCGCATGGCCCCTGCCAAACTATACAATGGGGGCCACTCGCTCTCGTCGGCCGCGCGCGCATGTCGAACCCCCTGCCAAAACCTTGTTCAACGACGCGGGGGCATCATCATCGTCATCGGCGTGCTCGGCATCGGCGCCGTCATTGGCTTTGCCGTCGTCATCGTCATCATCCTCACCAGCATCGCTACTTACATCACTGTGTCTACCGTTTTCGGCGTCGCCATGGTATCGCGCCCGCCCAGGTCACCTGCTCGCACTGAAGTGCCCGCTGGGAAGTGCCCAGCGGTCAGCGCCGCCGTTGCCGCGACGGTCGCGCCAAACAAGCTGGCCGCTGTGCGCGCGACCGTGCGAGACCTCTAGCGCGGCCGCAGAGATGCACCAGCCAGCGACAAGCACTTGTCGCCATCGCCGCCGCCAAGTTGCGGGTGGGTGGGTGGGACGATTGCGCGAACATTCGGGCTGACAGTTCCAATTTTTTCAAAAAATAATTTCAACGCGTACGTGTTCTTCTCTTCGAGTGAAAATCCACCGCCCTCCCGAAGCCGGACTTGCCCTTTCCCCTGGGGATGTGTAAGCTACATACGATTCTGCCCCATCGTGCATCCAGAATATGAATTCGTATGACTCCAGCCAAACCGGCATCGACTCCCCCATTTCTTACAAAGCAACCGTGCGCGCACATTCTTTCATTATCAGAGATCCTGTCGCAATATTCTTTTTCACAAAGAAGGGGAAGTGCACGCGCGCGCGCGTCGTCGCGCGCTCGCTCCGAAATATTACAAAAACTAGGGGGTTCGTAAGGTTGTCGGTGCCGACTGCCCCGAAAACGATATCAATTATCCGGGCGAAAAACCTAGCTATATGCAGTTGCGGGCACGGCAGAAGTGCGTATCCTTCTCGGCGAAGCTCTTCATAGGGCCACGCAGCGTGCGAGGGGTGTGCCGAAATGTGTGGCGGGGGCGCATGTGGTCACAGCCGCTGGACCCTTCGGTGGAGCTACCTGTCTTTGGGTCCACGGAACGTCTGGGGGGGCGTGTCGAAGTGGATGGCGGGGGCGCACGTGGTCACAGCCAGTGGGGCCTTCGGTGGACCACCCTATGGGGCCGCGAAGCATGTGACGGGTGTGCCGAAATGGGTGCCGCGAACGCATGTGGCCACAGCAATTTGGGCCTTCGGTGGAGCTTCCTGTGGGGCCACGAAGTGTGTGAGGGGTATGTCGAAGTGGGCGGCGGGGGCGCATGTGGTCACAGTCGTTGGGGCCTTCGGTGGAACTCCCGATGGGGCCGCGACACGAGGGA